GTTTATTGCGAACCGAAGGTAGGTGTTCTGCAAAGCGGTCCCCGACCTTCTGCTTGGTTTCCCCGATGTAGATGCCGCCACAACTGGTACAGTGGATGCAGTATACCACATTGGCAGATGTGCAGGTGAACATCTGCTTGATGTGGAAAGTCTTCTTGGGGCCTGGGATGGGGGTGAGGGAGGAGGTATGAGGGCAGGTGTAGCACTTCCTGCGGTTGCAGGGAAAAGTGCCGGCTGTGGTGGGGCTGGAGGGGAGTGTGGAGCGGACAAGGGAGTCATGGAGAGAGTGGTCCCTCCGGAAAGCAGATAAGAGTGGGGAGGGAAAGATGTCTTTGGTGGTGGGGTCGGATTTCAATTTTTGATGATGTTTTGATAAAATACGTATTTCACTCAGATCAGCACTTCAGAAGACTCACATCTCAACTACACCAAATGAGTTATTTTTTGATGTTTGTTTGACTAACATGCTATTTTCAGTGAGACAAGCACATCAGAAATCAAAAATGTCAACATCAGCAAATGACTCAACTTTTGATGTGTATTTGACAAACGTGCTTATTTCAGCGAGATAAGCATATCAGAAGACCAAAATCTCAAATTCAACAAATGACTCAACTTTTGATGCTGGTTTGACGAACGTGCTTATTTCAGCGAGTTAAGCTCTTCAGAAGGGTAAAATCTCAACTTTACCAAATGACACAACTTTTGATGCTGTTTGGTTTAAAATGCTTATTTCAGCGACTTAAGCTATTCAGAACACCAAAATCGGAACTTCACCAAATGAATGTAGATTTGATCATGGTTTGACTAACATGCTTATTTGATTGAGAGAAGTATTTCAGAATTGAAAAATCTCAACTTCACCAAATGAGTCAACTTTTGATGGTGTTTTGACCTCATGTGCTTATTTCGGCGAAATAAGCATATCAGAAGACGAAAATCTCAAAGTCACCAAAGGACATAACTTTCGATGCTGGTTTGGCTAAAGTGCTTATTTCAGTGAGATGAGCATAAAGAAGTCAAAAATCTGAACTTCATCAAATGACTTGATTTTTGATGCAGGTTAGACGAAAATGCTTATTTCAGTGATGGTGAAGACTAAAATCTGAACTTCACCAAATGACTCAATTTTTAATGATGTTTTTACTAACATGCTTATTTGATTGAGATAAGCCCTTCAGAAGTCAAAAATCTCAACTTCATCAAATGAATTAATTATTGATGCTGCTTTGACTAATATGCTTATTTCACTCAGATAATCACATCGAAAGACCTATATTTCAACTTCACCAAATGAGACGGTTTTTGATGTTGGTTTGAATGACATGCTGATTTCTGTGAGTTCAGCACGTCAGACGATCAAAATCTCAACTTCACCAAATGACTCAACTTTTGATGTTGTTTTGACTAACATGCATATTTCAGTGAGATAAGCACTTCGAAGGCAAAAGTCTAAACTTCCCCAAATGAGTTAATTTTTCATGCTGGTTGGATTAAAATGCTTATTTCAGCGAGTTAAGCACTTCAGAAGTCTAAAATCTCAATTCACCAAATATCATAACTTTTGATGCTGGTTGGTTTAAAATGCTTGTTTCAACGAGTTAATCTCGTCAGAACACCAAAACCTGAACTCCACCAAATGACTGTAGTTTTGATCATGGTTTGACTAAAATGCTTATTTGATTGAGAGAAGTATTTCAGAAGTCAAAAATCTCAACTTCACCAAATGACTCAAATTTTGATGTTGTTTTGACCAATGTGCTTTTTTCATCGAGATAAGCATATCAGAAGACTAAACTCTCAAATTCGCCAAAGGACATAACTTTCGATGCTGGTTTGACTAAAATGCTTATTTCAGTGAGTTAAGCACTTGAGAAGACTGAAATCTGAACTTCATCAAATGACTCAATTTTTAATTTTGTTTTGCGTAAGATGCTTATTTGAGTGAGATAAGCACTTCAGAAG